TTCATTACCAACAAGAACCTTTGAGTTATAACATTCATAAAGCTCATTGAGATTATAAGAAACTAAGAATAACAAATTTCATCAGACGTGGAAACCAGAACAACATGAAATTTGTATCTTTCATCGAAGAAATGTCTTGAGAATATAAGGATATTTCGATGTGCTCTGAAATTCGTTAGCTCGGTTCAGGAAATACGCTGATTAATATTTTCCATATAAGAAAGGAAATTTTACACTTTATGCAAGAAAAGTGCCGAAATGATACTCTCTCAAATATATATTTATTATTCAAGTCTATACACAAACTTTTAAATTGTTGATGTTAAAATTTAAAATCACCATTAATATTCTGCGCCATTCATCGTTATCTCGATGTTACAATATTGCGCTATATATTACTACATGTTTCAATGTCATAGCATCATCTTCAGGTTTTTATCATTTAAAACTATTCTATATTTATTAATGCACGCTTTTCATTGATTGTAGATTGTAGATTACTGTTGTGGGTGTTCCTTTGATCTTCTTATTATTTTGCATATTATGTTGCGTATTATGTTATTTGTTCATTATTCAAGAGTTTGATGTGCAGTGTGTCCCCGTCTGATCAGGTGAATGTCAGTTCATAGAACAAATAACATAATACGCAACATAATATGCAAAATAATAAGAAGATCAAAGGAACACCCACAACAGTAATCTACAATCTACAATCAATGAAAAGCGTGCATTAATAAATATAGAATAGTTTTAAAGATAAAAACCTGAAGATGATGCTATGACATTGAAACATGTTGTAATATATAGCGCAATATTGTAACATCGAGATAACGATGAATGGCGCAGAATATTAATGGTGATTTTAAATTTTAACATCAACAATTTAAAAGTTTGTGTATAGACTTGAATAATAAATATATATTTGAATTTTGAACACAAACATGACGCATCTAAACTATAAAAATATGATACTCTCTCGCTTGATGAAAAACTTTAAAATCACAATTGAGTTTGCACTTTGGCTTTCTTGGCAAATCTCATAGAGATGAAAGATTATTTCAACTTTTAACTTCAAGGCAAAAACCAAGATATTGTATGGCTTGTGAAACGTGTTGATTATTTCAAGGAAAGCCTTCTGTTTTTAAAGATAATTTGCAGAAAAATTGTCCCACTCACTTGAAAGCTTACACGGTCATAAACGATATTACTCACTTTGCCGATTCTGTTCGGGACTTAGACAAGAATTTCAAACCAGGTTATTGGACTTTGACAACACTTCACGCTTTTAGAAATCCATTTAGCTCGAAAGTTGAAGAACAAGATCATGAACAGCAAACGGAACTATGTAAACGTCAGGGCGACTTCTCTTTAACTTAAAAGAGGAATCATCAGTATGAAGAGTTCTGGAAATCGTTGACAGATGAGCAGTTTCCGAAACTTTGTACATACGCATTATAAATGCGCTCAACTTTTGGTAGCACACATATTTGTGAGTTCACTCTCTCCACCATGACAATGTTAAATACGAAGCAGAGGTTATCTACAGATGTGTTAACGACGAACCATTCGTTTAGCAAAAAGGAAAAAAGTTGGACCATCCTACCATAAAGTTTTTCAATTAAATGTTCACTCTAATAATATTTGGTAGAAGTAAAAATGACGATAGAAGTTTACCGACGTTTCAATGGTGCTGGCTGCTCCGTCATCATCTCTGAAATGTTCAAAACCTCAACCAGCCCACAAGGCGCAACACCCCAGACAACGGCCATCTTTATACATTCAATTAGCTCTATACAAGCTGTACTATCGCTACCGGCTCTAGATTCTAGAACTACAAAACTTCGCTTTGCATGTGAATTCAATGAAATGAAACACAGAAATGTTTACTAAACTGTTATATCGGCAAACTGGAATAGTAAATACAATATTACTGCTTGTTTTCTTTTCTAGTTTAACCGAAAATAATAGTCAGGCAAGGTCATGTTGAAACGTTTATCTGGCAGGAAAGTTGGATTCGTAATAGTAGCAGCTGTGCGGTTCTAGGACAAATGAGTACAAATAGATCCTTCGAAAATAAAAATATTTCAGATATTTGGGAAACACAAGGGTGACCAAAATCACGTTCACGAAGAAGTTAAGAGCAAATTCAATTCGAGGAATGCTTGCTATCCTTTAGTCCAGAATCTTTTACCTTCCAGTCTGCAAAACTATAATTAATTTACCTCTTGTTTTGTATTGGTGTCTGTCGCTTAGGAACAGCACAGATTGTGTTTGAGAAATGAATAATGAAAAGACTATTTAGACCTACTTGAGAAGAAGTAACATACAATATAAGTACAGTGTATTATAAAAGACGCAAAACGTTTTGA